GCTTGTGCGGCTGCCGCCGCAGCAGTCGGTGCAGAGCATGGACGCGCTTTTTCCGCACTACGTCGCGCTCCGTTGGGCGGAGAGTGTGCTCCCGCACGTCCAGACGCTGCTCGCTGGGGCGGCCAAGCACCCGCTCACGCGCGCGGAGGAGACGCTGCTGCTTGCGCTGGCCACATTGCTCCGCACTGTCTACCGCCAGGTGCCCTACATCCGTTTCGGCGACCTGCGTTCGCTGCAGGAGCGGGCGACGGCGGTCACTCTACAGAAATTCCTCACCTACCACACCACGCACTTCCTCGGCGCCGTGCTCGAATTCTACACCCGCTTCGTGCTCGGCCGCAGCGGCGGACAGACCGTGCTGCACCTCACGCCCGACACGCTGCAGACCCTCGCGCTCACGTTGCAGAACGCCGTGGACGTGCTCGCCGCGCTCGAGGTGCTCGATGCCGCCGAGCGCCGCGCCGCGCTGCGCGAATTCCTGAAGCCCACGCTCTTCCAAAATCTGCCGGTCAAGCACAGTTTTTTGAAGGACGTGCTCGAGCAGAAAACGCTGGCGCGCTGCCGCCCGCGGCTGGAGCTGCAGCTGACCGTGGAGCGTGGCGTTGCTGAGCGTGTGCTCTTGCTCGTGGCCGCCTGGCTTGGTGGCCGCAAGAAGTGGCTCGCTATCTCCGTCTTCGGATTTTATGTGTTGCCGCCTGCGGAGCCTTCACCGGCGGCGCGCTTCGAGGTGGAGGAGAGGTTCGGCTGGGCTATTCTGCAGCGTCTGGCCTGGGGCTACCCGTGGGGTTTCTGCGTCGGTTTCTGTTGGGTGGTGGACGGCGGGCCCGTGCACCGTTTCCTGGCCTTGCAGAGTGCCGAAGATGCGCGCGAGGTGTTGGAGACGACGCACGCGCTTTCGGGACGCACGGCCGAGGACCGCGTGCCGGTGCTGAACGACGTGGTGGCGAGGGCCGCACTGGAGTTGGAGACGCGCGCGCCGGCGACGAATGCGGCATTGGCCGAGTGCGAGGGCGAGGGCACCGTTTTCCTCTTCAACTCGGAATTGAGCGTGTTCGGTTACGGCATGGACGCGGCGTACTGGCTCGTGCCGAGTGTCGGTGTGCTCGGACCGGAGCGGAACTGGGCGTTGGCGGGACTGGCCGCGCGAGAGGAGGCGGCGGCGGAGGACACGGCGGCGGCGGGGTTGGAAAACTTCACGGTTTATCGTGCGCGGAACGAGAAGGAGTTGGCGGCGATCCAGGCCTTGCGTGCGGCCGGGCCAGATGAGCATGTGGACCCACTCAGTCGGCTGCCCGACTGGGCCTTTGTTCGCGTTGCTGAGTCTGAAGCGGAGGTCAAAAAGTATCAGGCTCAACTGGATGCGGCGCGCAAACATTTGTTCTCAGTCAAGTTCCAACTCGCTGTCAAAGGCATCATGGCCGTGACCCTCGACGCCGAGGACCGACCCGGCCTTACGCTCCTCTACGACCGTAAACGCGGGGGCACCGCCACCCGCGGCAAGGCCAAATACCACCTCGTTTTTGTCTCCCACCTCGCCCGCGACAGATGGCGTGCCGGCCTCAGCGTTGACCTCTTCGCAGAAGACCCCAAACACTGGAAAGTGCACGACGCCGCCGCTGTTCACTAGGCGTCATGCACTGGATTTAACTGGGTGCAGTCGAGTCGAGTGGCCGAGTCCAGTCAAGTCAAGAGCAAGTGCAAGCAAAGTGGTCAAATTATGACCGCGAAGGGAGACTGGCTCGTTCCGGGGACTGGCTGGTTCACCCCCGCGGGTGCTGTCTGAATAAAGGTAGGAATAAAAATCTTTTGCGTTTAATTTTGGAAGATGTCCTTCGACGCTGCTGCTGCTTTCATCAGACGCACCGACACCGGTATTTCTCCGTCTCAAGCCGAGCAGCTGGAGTTGTACAGTCTGTACAAACAAGCTACTGAAGGAGATGCACAAGGATCTCGCCCTAGCATCGTCAACCCGACCGCCAGGGCGAAGTGGGATGCGTGGAACGAGCGGAAGGGCATGGATAAGACCAAAGCTGCTGAAGAGTACATCAACACGGTGGCAAAGATTTGCCCTGGCTGGCAGTCGAAATAGAGCTGACCGGATTGTGTGAGCTCCTTTTTGATTGTTGAAATCGTTATAGAATAATTTTACGGTATGTTCACCAGGGTGCGGGGAAACAGCTGTGGCTACCGGAGAATCTCTGCTGTTGGGACGCCCTGGCACTGGGTGGGTTCGTAGGCACTGGGTCCAATGTTTTCCGTTGTCAAGGTTTGGCACCAGTAGGAAGGTGCTTTAGAGATTTAGCTTGTTTCTGGGGAGGGGAGAGCCAGCTGCAGGTTGGTGTGGTAGTTCGGGAGTCAGTGTCGAGATCTGTCGAGTTCGTTTTTAGCGGCGGCAGCGGTTAGTCCGCAGTAGGGACAGACGAGTGTTTTGCGGTGGTTGAGTCGGAGGGAGGCGCTCGCACACATCTTACACTTGGTGCCATTGTCGAAGAGTTTGGTGATGGACGGTGTGCAGAAGATGAGCCAGTCGAGGACGATGCCCCAATCGTCAATGCCGTCGAAAGCTCCTGCGAGTGTGTCGTAGACGGCTTGTTCATACCGGGGCTTGCTGTCGTTTTCGAGTTCGAGGGCGATGAGACCATCGTCTTCCGGGAGCAAGTCGAACACGAGATCTTTCTTACCCGTTTGCCCACAGACGACGCAGCGCCACCGGCGGTGGTGGCCGGTGTAGTAGGCGGGCGTGATGACGTTGCAGGGCCCGCAGACAGTGGTGTTGTCGTTGAGGCACTGCTGCCGGCGCTTCACCAAGAAGCGGAGGCGCCAGTCGCCGAAGCTCGGCACGCTCGCGATGAACACGCTAAGGTTCTCCAGCTGCTTCCGGTCTAGCTTGACCGGGCCCGCCGGGCGGGCGGACTCGTAACTGGCGTACGGCGTGCCGTCCAGCAGAATCATTAGCGACCGACATAAGTTCTCGAGTGTGCGCGGGATTCGCAACACAGGCGTCAACGCAGAACCCGCCGTGGGACCCGGGGCGGGGCCATCCGGGCCGGCACCATTGTTGCTTGGGGCGGAACTACCGGCAGCGACGGCTCCGACGTAGGACCGACTGTGGAAGAGCTGCATCAACCCGCTGTCCGTGTAGCGTTCCTCAATCACAAGCCGGCGGTATGGTAGAAACACGCCCTCGGGCACGCTGCTCGGCCAGTTTCGGTCGGACTCCTGCTGCAGCAAGCCGAAGTACCAGTTCCGCTCCTCATTCACGCGGCGCAGCCAGCGCCCGTAGATGCTATTGATCGTCGTGATCGGCTTCATCGGGCTCCGGGTGGAGGCCAGCGGCAAATCCTCCTCGTCCGGAACCTCTAACTTGTCCGGGATTTCTCGGCCCCGAGAGAACACACGCGCCTGACGAATCGCACCCACCTCCGAGGCAGGTTCCGACCCCGGCTCTCGTCCCGCCAATTCCTTGACGGACTCCCTTCCCACCGATTCTGTTGCCACGTCACGATTCAAAGAGTCTCTTTTGGTCTCCACGCCACCAGCGGAACCTGCCTCTGGAACTGGCTCCCGTGCAGCCGACTTGACGGATCTAGGCGGGACGGCCTGCTGCCGCTTCGGCCCCAAAGACTCAGCTGGCGACCGGTCAGGCCCGCGTCGCAAATCTTTCGGAGTCGATCCCAAGGAAGCAGGAGTTCCCCCACCTACGTGGGGAGTTCCCCTACCGACATGGGGAGGTCCTAAATGGGACGCTGCTGGGTTACCCCTGGCCGTTGCAGGCTTGGCCACAATGGTAGCGGTATTGCGCCTCTTCGCTATTGGCAGTTCTTCCGGCAAAGGCCGCTTATCAGTCCGGACAGGCTCTTTTCTTGGCGCCACTTTAGGACCTTTCCCCTTCGGCGTCCTATCACTCTGCCCCCTATCAGGCTGTCCCGTATCAAGCTGCCCCCGATCAGAGGGTGCTCTATTTTGTGTTGCGACAGGCCGCGAGTCATTTAATGGGGCGGGCCGGCTTCTTGGCACAGAGCTCTCCTCGTTCCTGGATCGGGGCGCAGAAGTATTCGCGATCTGTTGGGTAATGTCGCTGTCGCTATTCTGGCTACTCTCAGCTTTCAAATCCCCGATTTGCTCTGTTCGACCCTCCTGTAAAGTCGCTGCGGTCGACCGTAGGCGCCAGTCTATCGAGGTCACGGAATCACGATCAGCTGTTTGCCAGCCATCGTCATTGCGTAATTTTGTATCGCTAATGTTACCATCGCTGACGTTGCTCACGATGTGGCCTTCGTCGACTCGGTTTTCGCTGAAATGCCCCGCGCAGGAAGTGCCCGATGATACTTGGGGTTGAAGCAACACTTTTTCGCGTCGGCGGCGGCTGGAAACTTTGTGCACACGCGTGTGCCGCGAAATTTCAATGTTGTCGAAATAGTCTTGGAGGGCCAGGAGCAACTTCATTAGGTTTAGACAGTCGGCTTCTCGAATAAGAACAAAGCTGGAGATTTCGGCGACGATCGTTTGCAAAGAACTCGTGTTTAGAGCCGCTTCGTAGACAGTAACCCTGTCTCGGTCCAGCCAGAAGAGTATCAGGGGATGAGGGGCAGCCCGGCCGCCGACTTTAGCTGGAGAGCCCTCCTCTGATATTTCGTGGGTGCCCTCTTCACTGGCGGTGCTCAGGGAAGCGCGGTCAGGTTCTCGGTACGATTCAGGAAGGCCGAGTAAACGGTTTGAGTCGGAGGGACTGCCCCCTGAAAAGGCCCTTCCTGAAGCGTCCGGAGTCGGAGGATCCAAGTCTTGCGGATCGTCCAACGGCTGGTCACCATAATCAAGAATTATCTCAGTGGCGTCCAATCCATGCTGAAATGAGATTCCATCGAAGGGTCCCGCCACTGTGGCAGGAGTTCCGGGGACAGGTGGCGTGACGTCGGAGGCTCGGTGTTTATCAGTATCATTCGTGAGCGGGGTGTCATGAGTCGCATGATTAGCCAACCGGTCATCAACCTTTTCGGGGGGGGCTATTGCGCCCCTTTCGGTCCCATCGGAGTCGATTCGTGATAACTGATGTTCAAATTTTTGGACCACTGTTTGGTCTGAATTTACTACTTGTGCATCATTGACGTCCAGAATCTCGATTTTCGAAGCAGTGCCAGTATCAGAGAAGTAATCTGAGAGGAGAACGTGTGCTGCTAAGAAGAATAGTTTGCTCTGAGATCCATCCGCAAATATCGAAGATGCCACCGTGATGCTGGGACAGAAGTCAGCTGTAGTGAGCCGGAAGGGTCTCTGTGCGCATTCTACAACGTACATTGGCTCGTATAATTGGCCCTTGACGCAGAAGGTCGGATGACGAACGAAGAAATCACTGAACAGAGGCGTGTACAGATAGCGGTACCAATCTGCACGAGGCAGATCCAAGCCAAGGAGCTCTTTAGTTATGTAAGGTATGCGAAAATACATCAATAATCGCCACGGAATCTTGCGGAGTTTCCCCTCACTCAATCTGCCATCGTCAGTGGTGTCCAGCCCCGCGGTGTCCAGCCCCGCGGTGTCCAGCCCTCCGGTGTCCAGCCCTCCGGTGTCCAGCCCCCCGGTGTCCGGCCCCGCATCAGGTTCAGGACTCGCTGGAGTATGAAGGGCATTGTGTCCTAGGGCGTGAAGACGCAGTTCCCTGGCACAGTCGAACGTTTTGTAGCAGTACCGAGCGATGCTTCGATTGAGTCCACCAATTGAGAATCTATATAGAGGGTTGAAGTCGGTTCTCCCATCACCAGCATTCGGATCGTGTCGTCGTAAGAAGAAGATTCTGTTCGAAGCCAAATCCGCTTTGGAGTAATTCGGAAGCGACCTAAAAATTGTTATGGCAATGGGGCGGAATGAGTAAATGCCCGTAGACATCCTTCGAAGTATCTCGTGACCACATGTAGGAAAGCATAACCGTATTAAAATTGATTTTTGAAGCTCTAGCTCAGACGAAGCTCCAAAGTTCTCCGCAAAGAACTTCTGGAGTTCTGGGTTCCAAGTAGCGGGTTCCTCACTAGGGACATCGCAACTAAAGAATCTTGACCATGTCTCGGAAAAAAACATCACTACAAAAGCACCAGCACCTTGTTGTACCCAACTCGCCCTTATGTGCTGGACTCGACCATCCAGGCACAGGGAGCGCGTGGCTGAAAAATGGTTGCAGGAAAAATCCAAAAGACGCCGCACACGTGTGTTTCAACGAATGTAGTTCGTCAGTGGACGGCTTCTGTAGAACGACCTGCTGTCTGTTTCACGGAATGCTGCACATGTGCTCCCCCTTCTTGATGGGTCATCGAACTCGAGCTCCTGATTCGTGCAGCCTATCTCAAGATCCCTATCTGATGCATCCTCACCACCGCCCTATCCAATGATGCAAACGGTCCCGCAGCTCATCCTTCAACTCGCAAATCTCCCGTGTTGCTACTTGTGCGAGAACGCACTGGCAACGACGCATGGATATCAACACATTCCAACATAAGTCCTTCTTAGCACCAAATTCATCGTGTAGTTGTTCCGGCTCCTCACCGGACAGGCCCACGTTCTTCACCAACACGTCTTTGAGGATCCTACTCCTGGCAGCGTCGTCCGAGGTCGGTGCGTGTGAGGGATGGCCATCGTGGATCGGCTTGGAGCTACGGGTGGTTTCGTAGCCGGATGAATGTGTGAAGGGTGTCTGTCTGGCCGGGTACGGGCAATACAACAGCTAGTAAGGGAGTATTCGACTCAGACAGCGCAGGCGATTCCACTCTGGTGTCGCAGGCCTTGTTTTAGCCCGTTATTCTGGAGACGCCAACATTTTCGGTGGTGAAGTGGGAGCGAGGCCCTTCCACAAATACATCTTGCCTTGGTGCCGATGTCGACGAGTTTGGTGATGAAGCGTGTGCAGAAAGATGAGTCAGTCGAGGACGTGCCCCAGTGCTCGATGCCGTCCGAGGTTTTTGTCGGTGAAGGTGAAGGCTTCGCGAAGGTAGCTAGGTTAAGCTGATCAGACGAAGAAGACACTCGAAGCCAGGTGGCAGGCAGCCGGGGACGGGTCTGGGTTCTTGTAGGCACACGGTGATGACAACCGCAGCGGACTGACACGGTTGCTGCAAGCACTAGTTGATGACCCGAGACTGGCCGGTGGCTGACGGGAGAATGAAGTGCCAACTGACGAGTGGCATGTGGTTAGCAAGAGTACGCGCGGACGGCAACCCAGTGGCCCACGGTTAACAGCCGGACTAGGAGGGGGCATGTGACTGGCCCATGGTTAACAGCTGGACTAGGAGGGGGCATGTGACTGGCCCATGGTTAACAGCTGGACTAGGAGGGG